TAAACTTAATTAATTACAAGTTTTGACTCTCGAGGCACAGTTAAAAAATATAAAAGTTAAAGAAATCACTTGACTGGTTCGTCTTGAGACCCTTTAATTAGCAGTACTGCCTCGTGTACTGTTTCATAATGCAATCATCTATGTGTAATTATCAAAAAGAAAGTCTATTACTAATAAATCATGAAATCCTAAATATTAAAGTCTAGCATCATTTGCAAGGAAAGGCATGTGTCTCATGTCTCTGTCTTTTTTACACAGCGTTTCAATTTTCTATTTGCTTTGGCTTTATAAAAAATTGAATTTATAAATAATTGATATTAATGCTTGGCTTCCATTTATTACTTGCAAATATAATTTTCAGGATCACTGAGCTTCCATCCTATCGTTTATAGGTCAGACAATGCTGTGGGGCGATGCATGCTAGGAGGTCACAAAAACAAAAGATTGTGCTCATGCTGCAGGCATACGCTGATAAACCTTCAGGCTATGCTTTAAATAGACTTCTGTTCCTGTCTTCAGAGCTGAGATCAAACAGAAAGTGTTTCTGTTTAGGCAGCTGGCCGGTCCTTTTCAAATCCAGAAACCTTTAAGTCAGGTTAACATTAAGAAACAGATATTGGGATCCTGATTGTAATCTGTGATTATGGGAATCTGTGCCATTATCACATGAAGGGAAGTCTTTTGAGGCAGAGGAACACAATGACGTAGTGTTTTGCTTTCTCCCCTCTCCCCATCCTGGGCCTGCTTCCAGTGAGACCCCCCCACCTCGACAACACCACCAGCTCCACTCCAACCTGGGCCGATGCCAGACTGTGAATGAATGAGGGGGTCCTAACCAGTCTACTATCTTCGTTTGATGTGGAGCACTGAGGTTTCTCTGTTTTTAGCATAGCTGCTTGTGACCCACCACCAAAACATTTAGACTTAAAACCATCAAATCTGCCTTATTCATAAAACGTGATGATGATGATGTGATGATTACCTCTGATGATTATTCTTTAGCTGATTGTAGCTATGACCCTAAATTATGCCTTACACCTAATATGGGTCGAGTCATAAATAAACAAATCAGACAGCATAAATGAATAAAGCATGCAAGCAAGAGGAAACAGGAATTGAACAAACAGCCAAACAGAGTGGAGGCCAGGCCACAAGCTGCTGCTGTGTGCCTCCCAAGTGATGAGATTTGGATGCTGCCTAAGTACCATATTTGAGGAAGAGACTTTCTGCATAAAGAAGATTAGTATTAGTTGTTTAAGGGCTTTGGGGAGAAGATTTACCATTATTACCAACCCAGTGAAAAGAGGGGAAGCCGGCCACAATCTGATGCCAACACTTGCCAAGACGGAGAAATGTTAATTTAACCAAGCCACACACCATATGGGAGAGATTAGGATGTGTGCGGGTCATGAAGAGAATGACAAAGATTAGGTGGCCTTGGAGAGTGATAGATGATTTAGAGAGATTAACAACATAGAGCACGGATCGGGACTGTCAGGACGGGGAGGCGGCGCTGGCCTATTAGTCTATAAAGTTAGGCAATGCCACTATAGCCTGATTGTTGAATTCTTTAGAAGTAGATGAAGTTTTAGATGAAAAACAGAGTTGCCCTGAGGATTGAACGGAGCAGAGTCCCGGGGCCTAAATTGAAAAAGGCATTTTTGTGATGCAATCTTCTTACCATGATAGGAATATTGGATAACAAGTGGGAGAGAAGCAGACAGCTTTAATTTTCTACCGAGCAGCATCTCATTGTTACAAAAGTTGCATCAGAAATCAAAGGGGGATAGTTGGCGCTTTGTTTGTCTAATTACAAGTGCAGATTAAAGTTGAAAGCACAGTTCTCGTCAACTCTCGGAGGCTTCACAGACAACTTTAGACTCAGATCCTTATTCACAGATTTAATAAAGTGCAACATAAATATGCACCAAGACTTAACTACTTTTGAGTGAATTAGGCGGAATAGAATTCACATTTAAAAAAGTTTCACTGCCCCCACTTTTTCTTTAGCCCTATACACCCTTCACACAAAGACATATTTCATTCCAAGTACACATGCAATAAGATTCAGCGTGTTCTAACCGAATCACTCATCTGTCTCTACCCTGCACCGCCAACATGGAGGAACAGAGATAAAGACTCGGGCATCAGCCAACCAAAGTGGATTAACATGATTTTGATGAAAACCAATAGAGCTGTTTCATGTGGACGGCCCAGCACTCTGTCCTCAGTTCCTCCCTTGTGAAGAAAGAATCCAGTCATGAGCCTTAAAAGGAAAGTGTAGGGACATCACGACAACAGGGAAAGTTTCTACAGGACATCATTTCTAATTCAGTGACACTCAGTATTAGCTTGTGATTGAATAAGCACACTGAACACACGTGACTTATTCTAAATTCAAATTGATATTGCCAGGAGTTAAATGTTATCCTGCTTCAATTAACTTACAGACAATATCTGAGCACACGAGAGATATTCTTGCATGACATCCGTATGTTTAATCTCTGCATATATTATCCTGACTGACTTTAATTAAATATAATATTTACATGCAACAGTTCATGCTCCAGAGATACTGTGAGAGATTACAAGTAATACCTTATGATCATGCCACAGTCACTGATCTCTTTTTTTTTTTTACACTTTATATCCAAAGACAGATAGTCGGTTTTAAATCCCAAACGATTGGATTTTTAATCATATTGTTGAAGGTTTTAAAAAAAAAAAGTGAAATTGTGCAATATAGTAAATAAGTACAGCATTTCAAAAATCTTGCCACTTACCAATTCTTAGGACCTGCTGTGAAGTAAGCCGAAACTCTGCTATAAAGTACAGCAGTGAAAATAACAGTCCCTTCCTTTTCGCCATGGTCCTCCCTCCAGAGTCAAATTTAACATTGATATCAGTTGTTCTGCCCTTGGTAATTCATGCTGTTAACTTGCCGGTCCTCGTATCCGTAACGAAAATAAACTGGGTTCCGACCCACATCCATCCCTCACACATTGTGATGAGAAAAAAAAAACAATAACAAGAACACAGACTCCACTTGCAGCTGTGAGTGATCAACAAAACTCCAGTTTTCCCATTCTAAAATCCTCTTTGTGCCAGTAAGGTTTTGCTTCTCAAATTCACTGTGCAGACATCCCTCTTAGGTTTTTTTTTTCTTCTTCTTATTCTGGTGCACTCTTGAATTGTAGGATGAGACTGAGGAGGAGGAGGATCGCACACGGTGCCCCTGCTGTCAAGCTCCAATGAATACAAAGTAGCAGTTCTCGTAGCAACTTTCAAAATAAAAGATGAAGCAGCATCCTTTGGAGCAAATATAGAGAAAATGAACATGCTTCTTGGGGACTAGGGTTCATATATTTACTACATGCATGTATATATGTATGTAGCCTGATCTCAAATTATTCAGATGTTTAATAAATACAGCTAATTCCAATATTCCACTATGTATTATTCTATATTCCTTACACGAGACTAGTGTAATAAATATTACATTTAAAATACTGTATTTAAATGTTTGGACGATTGTTTTCTGTCTGTTGATACCTGCTTTACCAAGTATTTGAACGCTTTTATTATTCAGTCGCGTTTGCTTTATTTCCGGTACCACTCTCACTTTCTTTGTCTGACTGGACACAGCCTGAGAGTCCCTCCCGTGCAGGCGCTCAATTGAGGGCACAGCCAAGCCTCTAATCCGCAAACATGGATACGTCCTGAAGATTAACTTCAAATCTGGCAACATTCGACCTCGACAACGTCTTTGCTTTGGTACACCGAGGAATGATTAAATCTTTGCTCCAGTCCTGATGGAAATGCAAATCTAATCTTCAAACTGGTCTGTGACGCTCCCTTGAAGATTAACTACCTCAAACTGTTTTTCTCACACAGTCTCGTAGTAAAATCAAATGTGTCTGCACAACATTAACCCACCTTGCTCTTTTCCTTCAGCCAGAGCAAAGTTATTTTAGCTGCTCAGTGAGACAAATCAGCTGCAACTGGTGATTTTGCTCCAGTCTACTTTCCCCCCCAAGTTTGGAAGAAATATCATCAGGGTTTGATGAGTGCTTTGGGATAAGTGTAATCTCACAATTGCTTATTTCCCCAGATGCAGATAGTGATGATAAAACAATAATTTAATGAACTCTAGAGGGGTGTTATTCTACAGGTTACATTGTGGTGACTGTCCAAATAAAAAACTTCAGAATGGGATCAAATGCATTAACAACACCATGCCTATAATAGCTTGTACTTAAACCAGATTTTCATGTTTTCAGTTTGTTTCATAATGTAATTTGGCTTCGGATTGAGATGAAGTGTATGAGAGAGAGTTATTCTTCTGCCACCTGCAGTCTGAGAAGGAAAGATTGCAGTGTCAGTCCACGCTTGAAGACACTCATCGTGTCCTTTGGCATCACCTAGTGGTGAAAAAATGACACAAGACTGGGCCAGGCCAACATGTTTAAAGCAAGGTTGCTGTTGTCGTGTTTTCTTTTTAGCAGAAATCACTTCACATGAAACCCAGTTCCATATAGTTTGTCACTATGAAGGTCCATCCAGGTGATCCCAATCAGAAGGCAAAACTTTCACCACTACCACATGCTCTTTAGAACTCATTTCTATCTAAGATTTTCTATTAAACCTTTTATTTCAGTCAAGGCAACTTACTTTACTTTTGTATTCCTAAGAAGCAACTCAGATAGCCTATCATCACCACAGACATACAGGTAAGCACATCCATCATAGACATCATGAAAGAGTTCCTTTCAACAAGCTGAAACTGCATACAACTTATCGCTCAACTTTTCAGAATATTCTCTTATACAAACAAACACAGATGCTCTAAGTATTTTTATTTGATCGCATACTTTAGCACTACATGGCTCCTTCTGCATGCAAAGAAAAGAAATAGAGACGGCAACAAAAATAGCCAATACAAAATTTAAAAAAATAATCAACAGATGATTACAAAGAAAACATAATGCTATGATGTTCTAAATAAAGTATTTGTTTTTTAGATCTCTCTTAATTAGTAAAGTAAGCCCACATCAGGGCTGCTGGAAAACTGTATAATGACCCCTTTAATTAAAAAAACAACAGCAGCAGTGATATTCAACCTGAGTTAATATGAAAGATATTACAAAAGCTGTATTTACACATAAAACAAAGTTCAAACATTTTTAGTCCTGGTTAAAGGATTATCCAAAAAAGTTGAGAAAACATGTTATTCTTTATCTTTCTTATGATGTCTTTAATCAGTAAAGCTTCGGCGGCTGCAAAAACACACTTGGGTTTTTCTTTATATGTACACACCAGCCCTGCTTCGACTGTGATAGTCTGGCTGAACTCTTGATCCTTTGTATCCAATGAAAACAGGAGTGTGTGGAACCGGGTGAAAACTGGACTGGTAGGAGGATGCAGGATTAAGAGAATACGGAGTTGTGTTTTGGCTTATGTATAAGGAGTTTCCTGGAGTATACTGGCCTCCAACATGGCTGGAACTCTGCAGGGTGGAAAGTGGAGCCATGCTACCTTGATATAACAATGATGCATTTTCAGGCAGACCGGGGTTAAAGCCAACAGCAGGGTTGATTGATGTTCCATTTGTCATGACTTGAGGGAGGTTTTGCAGTGGCATTGTAAATTGTTCTCCAACAAAGCCGTTGTATGGCAGATGAGGCTGGTATGCAGTAGATCGGAGGCTGGAGACACTTGAGATGGGGTGATACCTCATGAGAGTTGGTTTGCTGGGTGCTGGGTGATACACATCATATGAGCCTTTCTCTGAGGGCATGTGGCGACAGAGAAACAACATGGCTGAGGCAAAAAGGAAACCACCAGTCACCCATCCGATGTAGAGAGCCTCCCCTAGCTCCCTCCTCTGGGCATCAATTAGCAAAGGATTGTAAAAATCCCTGATGATGGTATGGCCTGTCCACGACACAGGGATAAAAACACAGACACAAGCCATCAACTGCATACCACCTGCGATAAACAGGATTATGGTCTTAGCCCAGTCATTACCCTGAAAACAGGAAATACATCTCATTCCTGCCAGAGCAACAAGTAGCCCCAGTCCAGACAAGGCCAGGGAACAGCACATGAGACCCCTGGCTGCCTGTAAGTCCGGGGGCAGAAACAGCAGGGAGTCGTACACCTTACACTGCATCCTTATGTTGGCCTGTCGGTAACAGTTCATCCACAAGCCCTCCCAGCGGGTTTCCATCACAATGATGTTCTCTCCAATGAAAGCAGTCACCTTCCACATGGGCATTCCTGTAGTCGCCGCCGCCCCGATCAGCCCAATCAGGCCCACACACATTGCAGCAATTTCTGAAACACCCTGAACCATTTTCAAGCGTATGAAGATAATATTGTAATGAAAAATATTAGGGCTCCCTTTGACTGCGAAATGTCACGCGTTGGTCCGAGATGTGTCCAAGACAGCAATGATCTTCTCACCCGACTCTTGTTATGGGAAGGAGGCTTTGCGTTTGCCTGGTTGGCCCAGAGCGATAGGGGTGAGGAGGACCTGCTTGTTTTGTGTTTATAGTTCCCCTGGCTAAAGTGGAATATCAGTGCCATCACTTTCACCAGCAGTAAACACCAACAAGAGAGAGATAATAGGGAGAGATCACAACTTTTTTTGTTTTTATTTCAATAATTAAGTTGAATAACAATCCAAAAGCATCAAAAATAGAATGTTAAATAAGCTTTAGCAGTACCCCTTTTGTCCACAGGGGAGCAGAGATGACCCTGAAGGTGCTTGAACAGAGAGAAGGCTTGGATCACACACTCAAAATAAAGTATTTATTAAATACTAGAAATGTATTTTGTAAATCATAATGGAGATGGCTTTGATAAAAAAAAACACAAAGTATAGATAACAATATTATTACATCATCAAATATTTTCATTATGAAACATTAATCACACAATAGTACATTTGTTGGCAGTTCCCTGATACTGAGGAATTCCTGTCTCGAAGTATTTTCATAACTACTTGGCTAAAAAAATTGAGATTCTGCAGCTGTTATTAAAATTGCATTTTTTTAATTAAATGAGGGTATTGTATAATTCAAATGTAAACAGAGTTAGAAATGTCATTACTCTATCAAATGTTAATACACTTTATTAAACCGATACAGAAATGTTCATTGATTTCTCAAACATAAATGGAACTGTGATAAACCCTGAAATGAAATAGACAATGTTTGGTTCTAGAGCCCTCTGTTTAAATCATTCAAAGTGGCTTGCAAATGTGATCACATGATCATGCTGTCATGTCATCTATGTCTCTAGGCTCAAACACAAAGCTCTGGAGTTAAGTTTCCGCACCCTAAAACAAGCAGTCTTAAACCTGCATCTCATGTTTGCTCAGCTATTTGATCAGTTTCATCCGCTCCAGAGAGCTCCAGGGCATCATGGCAAACTTTACCACAGGCTCATAATTCTATTCCAATCACAATGAGATGCATATAATGTTTAGATTTTTCCAACATACATGTATACCTGTGTGATTATTTAGCATACACCCAATCATCAATTTGGCATTTACTGTCCTTAGGGTTCTTCCTGTAACCCACATGTCTTTGTTTACCCTTGGTGGATCATTTGTCTAATACCGGTTTGAGCCTGATAGGTGCCTGTAAGAAAATATTTGTACCACTCACATGTTTGTTTTTCAAACATATTTATGCCTTTTTGATGTAGTAGAGAATGTTATTTTCAATACCAATTCAAGCACAGCGATTTGTGATAAAATGGAGAAATATTGAAACAACAAAAGATATAATTTTAACTGTAAACACAAATTCACATGTTTTATAAGTAAGTATGCCTCTGTCATTGGTTACAGGTTGCATGAAATGTTATATACAAGGTTACACACCTAATATACAAAAACAAGATTGAAAATATAAAATTAGTTTAATTACAGACATAAAAGTAGTTGAAATCATTTATCAATATTTATAATATAGGTCCATATCAAGATGCTTTTACTAGTGCTGTCCAAGAAGACGCTAAGTACTCCTAAAAAACATATAAAAAGAGTCATTTCAAAGTGACTTCACTCTTACAGCGTGATTTATGTATATAATTAAAATCAGTTGTTTTCACAGATGTATTATTTGAAATGTATTTTTCTTACCCGAAATACAATTTCTGCCATTTGAAATGACTTCTATATGTAAAATAATTGTCCTTGCACATAGTGACCATACCTGTGGTTATAATGACCTCAGTCAGTTAAAGCTTTCAGAGATAAGCCACCGCGCTGCGTACAGAGGGATATCTGGAAGGGTAGCTGTAGTTGTTGGAGGGATATCTTGACAGCACTGGCTGAGGCTCAGGCTGAAGTTGTGGTTGGGGAAGGAAAACCAGCTGTTGAGGCTGTAAAGGCTGTGGAGGCTGGGGAGTGTAGGCCATGTAGTCAGAGGCCCTGGAGTACATGTACCTCTCTGAATCCTTATCGTCAGACTGCAGGTTGCAAAAAACAAACATGCATCCTCCAACAAAAAAGAAAGCAGAGGCCACCCAGCCGATATAAAGAGCCTCCCCAAGCTCCCTGCGCTGGGCATCAATCAGCAAGGGGTTGTAGAAGTCCCTGATGATGACGTGACCTGTCCAGGACACTGGGATAATGACGCAGATGCAAGCACATAGGACCATTATTCCTGCAATGATGAGAACAAGGCGCTTCGCTTTATCGTTGTTTTCAATACATGATGTGCACTGCAGCCCCACCAGACTAATCAGAAGACCGAGGCCACCCAGTGCCAGTGCGCAGCACATGAGCCCCCTTGCTGCTTGTAGGTCAGAGGGCAGGGCCAGGAGAGAGTCATACACCTTACACTGCATCCTGATGTCGGCCTGCCGAAAGCAGTTCATCCACAGACCCTCGTATCGGGTCTCAAACACAATGATGTTCTCTCCTATGAAAGCTGTGACTCGCCACATCGGCATCCCAGTGCTTGCTGCCGTCCCAATCAGTCCAATTAGGGTCAATATCAGACCAACTATCTCCAGTGCAGCGTTGGCCATCCTTTCCTTCTCTTATTCTCCTTGGCTCGTATGTACAATAATATGCAGATGCAGTGTCTTAATAGGGAAGCAGAAGAGTCCCTCCCTCGAGTGGTTTTGCATCCTAGTGGAGAGGGTAGAAGCGGGTGGATGTTCACCTGTACCGCCTCTCCTCCCTGTGGACAGGACACTCGAATGGGAGGGGTGGGGATTGCAACCTGTTGCTTGGAAACAGAATCCCCAAGGCTTTACTTTTTTCTATGTACACCTACCGCAGGAGCTGCTTCAAGCTGTTGCTCTGTTTATTCAGAAGTCTCAGTTTACATTCTTGATCCCACTTCACAACCGCCACAAGGAAGCTTTACTTTCTTCCAAAACATAGGTTGTTTATTAACAGGGGGAATTTTTTTTCTTTTATCAGTTACTAAGTATATAATAAAAAGACTGCATGTTGAAATATTACCAGTTTTAACAGACATATATATCATAGAAATTAATAATCTGTGAGGTTAGTCTTTTTGAAGTTGAAGCCTCTGTGCACCCACACAGATGTTGGTGATAGAGACCATGACTAGACGCCTTCTCAGGAATATGTCGGTGTGGACAAGTCTGTTTGATTGACAGCTCCACTACCCTGTTAATTCTGAAAAAAAAAAACTGTTTGGAAAGGAGGACCTGGTGACCTGTTTTCATACTTTTAGTTTGATTAGAATTTATTACATCATATCTTTTTCACTATAGCTCCGCCTACTTCCTTCCCTGGTCATATTCAGCCAGAATAATTTAAAACATTTGTGTGGGTGAACAGAGGTCTTAAAATCATCCACCACTTCTGAGATCCTTATATTACAAAGTAGCACAAAAAAATACAACTGTAATGTGAACATTGACACACAACATGAGCAAACAGACCACTGACTAACTCGTGTAGAGCGCTGTTTGCATTGTGTGTGTGTGTGGATGATGTGTAATACTCGTGTACCCATGTGACACTGTCAGCACTGAATTTCTTGACTAGCTCTTTTGTTTCTGTCTGTGCTGAGGAAAGAGCCGGTGTTTGAAGCGCTGGCTTGGTTGAAAGGAAGCCGCTTGTTAAGTTTGCATTGTGGGCGGACCTGTAGGAGCTGTCTAGTTAGACCAGTTTGGACACATTTCAACTCACAATAATAGAGAAAAACAGAAGGGTTTTACATCATGGCAGTAAATGAAACAGGAGCAGTTTCTGTTGAATCCAAGTTGAATGAAAAAGCTTTTTTTGGTAATAATATAACAAGTAGCTGATCCTGATGTCTTGTTTAGCTTTCCTCTCTTAATTTGGGTGAAGAAAACAACAAAACCTCTTTTTTTATCAATGTAATCCCTTTATTTAGAAACCACAAATGACCTCAACTGTAGGCCAGAATCAAGAACATATGTACATTTACAACAAAAAATCAACAGTTAACTCAAATCCTCTGGAGGTATTTCATTTGAAAAAGGCCTAGTGCATACTTGTTCCCTAAGAGCATGTCAGCAGAGGCTATAAAGACTGTTAAATTATCTTTAAACATTGTATTTATTACAGATGATTTAAATAGGACACCTGTATGTGTCGTCAATTTTATTGTAAAACAAATTATAACAAACAAAGCATACAGTAAATGAGCACAATTTACATGGGTAGAACACAATCAGTTCAAAGTGAAATACTCTTGGCCCTCTTTCTAAAGGTGAAAAATGAGGCCCTTTCCAGTTACAGTCTCAGGCAGTATTAGATGACTGATTTCCTTGTGGAATTTGACAAATTACGGCAGGTTAATATGAACAAAACAAAAAAGTCCAGACATTGTCTCTGTGCTTGATTTTTCTCTCTAGTACTGACTTGGTGTGTATGCCACAGATCCTGGTGGGGGTACAGAGTAGGCCGGCTGGTAGGAGTATGCTGGCTGGTAGGTGTATGGCTGGTATGTGTATCCAGGTTGGTAGATATTTTCCCCAGGGTTGTATACAATCCTCTCATCTTGGTCCTGGGTGCGGGGAGCGTGACGGCACAGCAGGATCACCCCGGCAGTGAAGAGCAGAGCTGAGGTCACCCAGCCGATGTAAAGAGCCTCCCCCAGCTCCCTGCGCTGGGCATCGATCAGCAGAGGGTTGTAGAAATCTCTTATTATGACATGGCCTGTCCAGGAGACGGGGATGATAGTGGTGACACAGGCCAAGAGGAACAGACAGCCTCCAGTCACAAGAACGATATGCTTGGTGCGGGCCCGTTGGTCCACCACTTTGGTACACTTCATTCCAACTGCTGAAACGATAAGGGCAAAGCAGGCCAAAGCCACAGAGCTGCACATCAGACCCCTAGCAGCCTGGAGGTCCGGGGGCAGAAACAGTAGGGAGTCGTACACCTTGCACTGCATCCTGATGTTGGCTTGTCTGTAGCAGTTCATCCACAAACCCTCCCAACGTGTCTCCATTACAATAATATTTTCCTCGATGAAAGCTGTTACCTTCCACATCGGCAGGCCTGTCACGGCTGCCACCCCGATAAGTCCAATGAAGCCGATGACGATGGCCACAACTTCGCAGCAGATAGCATCTTGACGGTCCTTTTTCTCTATTCTCTTTTTCTCTTCATATACAGAATCTTGATAATCTGCATAGGCTTTGGCCTGTTTCTCATCATAGTAGGACCCAGCGTAAGATTGAGGCGGCTTGGTGTAGCCACTGTAAGCCGTGTAAGAAGCCATTATCTCAGAGAGAGCCAAAGACAAGCTTTGGCAGCACCCTCACAGCTCAGGAAACAAATCTGAGGAAGAAGAAGAGCAAGTAAAAGAACTTATACACCCACAAACATGCCAAGGATGCAATGCAACCGTACTGGTTCAGCTGCTTTACAGAGAGATAAATGGTGACACACCAATGAGTGCTGATTGTTTTGATGCAAATACACCTTTCTTCTCTAACAATAGATCTGGGTGATTTAGAATGAAGAATAAAAAATAAAAAAATGACTATAAAAAGCCACAGTGGGTTAAATAATGCATCCTTTCTGTTGTTCAGCTTGAACACATTAGACACAATTTTAAACATCACAAAATAATCTTGTTTTTCAAACTAAACAACATAACCTGGAAATCAAAAAGGTTAGCTAAAATAGACTGTAAACATGAATAGTACATAAGGTCTCATTGTCATTTTTCGTTGGAATTTTAAATTTTAAATATCAATAGAAATAATATTAAAAAATCATGTGTAGGCAGTTTTTATGTAGGTAGTGCTAACCCTAACCAATTGTTTTTTGTAGAACATAATTTTCTCTCTCTCAAACCAGAAGCTGATACAATGAATACAGATGTCTAATAGGTAATCTGAGCTGATGAAAAGGTGTTGATCACTGAAACTGGAGTAGGATTGGTTTCTTTGTAACACTGTGCTGTTCACTCACCGACACTCCCCCCTGCAGTGTGAAGTCTACTGACATAATAACTTGCTGTATTGTAATACTTTGTAATGTGAAGTTTTCATTGCAAAAATAACAACTGAACTGCTAAACCAGGAGATGTCTGGAGTTGTAGCTGTTCATGGTATATATATATATATATATAATATTATAAACAGACTTTAAAAAGTTCAAACATAAAATCCAACCTTTGAGAAACTTTAATTTATGTTGCTGGTTACATAACTTCTTGGCCATGACATACTGCCAGCTCATAATTTCATTTAATCAATTTCATTATTTCAGCCTTTGAAGGAACAATTGAGCAGTTCAGAGAAAGAGTCCACAGTGAAGAAACTCTTGTGAAAGCACGGAAGCATATTGTGGTACAAATATCTTTATTTGTACATCAAATACCATCATATATTTTTTGAAAACTGTCAAGGACTTTGGTCTCTATTACTTGGAGAGGAAATCATTTCCAGTGCAATAACATCACAGGGTACATTTGTCATTTACACAGTCACATTGATTAAACAACGTTTTGTGGATCTAGTGGAAAAAACAATCGTACAGAATTTGCACACTTTCACTCTTTCAAATGTTTGATACATGTTAAGTTGAATTTTTTACATTTCAGGCAGTACAGTACATTTCTTCACAAGTATACTTGATGTTTATACGAGCTGGATAGTGTCCTTTGCAGATACACACTCTGCTCTTTCTCCCCTTCCCTCGCAGCCACAGCATAAGCTTCAGGGTAGGACTCCTCTTCCATTGATCTGCGTTTGCTGTAGCTGAACAGAACAATGATCCCTGTGATCAGCAGAATACCCGATGTGGCCCAGCCAATGAAGAGAGCGTCCCCAAGCTCCCGTTTCTGAGAATCCAGCGTTGTTGGGTTGTAAAATTTTCTGATGACAGTATGACCCACCAAGCTGACAGGGATAAGGGTAGTCAAAAAAGAAAGGAGGAACAAACAGCCGCCTAAAGCCAGGGTAATGTTTTTGCTTTTTGTGTCATCACCACAACAGTTGCACTTTCGGGACCCACATCCTGTGATGGACAGGGAGAGGGCGACCAGGACTATGGAGACGCACATGAGCCCCCTGGCTGCCTGCAGCTCTGTTGGGAGAATTAGCACTGAGTCGTACTCCTTGCACTGCATCCTGAAGTTTTCCTGGTTGTAGCAGGTCATCCACAAGCCCTCCCAGAGTTCCTCCATGACAATGAGATTGGCCCCTATGAAGGCAGAGACCCTCCACATAGGCAGGGCAGTGACCAGTATGGTCCCAAACAGGCCAATGAAGCCCAGGATCATGGCCAAGATCTCTAACGTTGCTGTCATTGCTCAGAGTGGAGTCTTGTTTCTAGTTTGTTGTCTTATGAAAAGAGTGCTCAACGTCTGTTCCAAATATGTGAAACATCAACATGCCTGCAATGTCATCAGTCTGGTTTTCGTTGACTTAACATTGGTTCTTTCCAGTATTTGAACTGCAACTGAAAAAAAACCTACTTTGCATGTCAGACTTTCATCTTTAGCTCCCCCTGAAAACCAGAAAGGTGTGATGCACATTTATCATTATTGCGCATCAGTCACTATGACAAACTCCAAGAAAAAAAAATGATCTGATTCATCCTTTTTGGCCTAGTGCATTTACACATACAAGGAATTTAATTACATTTTCATTGCTCTATACTCTTGCTTTTTTTTTTTTTTTTGGAAGATCACAAGAAAGCTGAACAAAGATAGACAAAAAATAATCATAGCTATGGCTATGCACAAATCAATCTGTCTCCTGAAAGTTATAAACCAGAATACAGTAGTGAAGGGGTATGGATGGAATAATAACTTTATATAGGCAAAGCAGATTACATGTATATTTAAACATTTCTTTACAATATACAAATACAGTCAACACAGCGCTTCTAAGTCTAATATGTACGTATAGTTGATGTTTTGAGTAACACGATTACTGGACAGGGATCATTGTCTCACATGATAAGACTTGTGTGGCAAGGCACTGCTTGTGTGTTCGTTTTTTTTTAGCGCTATACGTAGTGCCCAAAGACAGACCATTTGTCCAACCTTTTTGACCTGTTTGTCCAATATATTATAAAACAACAGGGTTCAATCAGTGGGCTTGTAGACCTTCATGTTGACCAATACAGTAAAGGCTTTCATCATCACAGAAGTCAGGTCGATGGGCCTGTAGTCCCCGTGATCATCTCAGTTTTGGAGAACATAATCAAGCCCAGACTGTAATACATCATAGTCTCTCAAATCCTTTTCAAACATAATTGTATTAAATCAAAAAAGCTCAATATTCCATATTATACCAGCTTCATATGCTGTTAAGTTACTGTGCTATATTGTATCTTATTTACCTCTAGAGTTACCTGACTGTTTGATATAGGAAGTCATTTGGCTGTTTAAATGTTGGATAAAGGACTTGACCTAGGATAAAGGATAAAACTTGTTTTAGCAGCAAAGAGAATCAAGTCAGAGTACTGAAAATATTTCTCCTTTAAAATCTGAAAACTTTGGAGAGAAAGTAAATAGAATTGGGGTTAATGCCAATTTACTGACTTCTCTGTTGTCACTTTGAAATGATTTCTGTATATAGGCACTTTACTTATACAGGCGTTGTAACTTGCTTTAACTAAGACTAAAATGATTGCAAGTAGATTCAAACTGCTGATAAGGAGGAAATGTTTCAGAACAGCTGAGGATTGTTAAAAAGAGCCTCTCCTTTATTTAAACTTGAATTGGTCTGGGAACGGTTACACCCTGTTCACCATTGTTTTTGAGAAGTTGGAGAGACAGAAAGGGAAGAGAGAGAGAACAAGATACAGCAGTTGAGGTCATCCAACAGGAACAGAAACTGGAGAGCCAGTTGAACAGGTTTGCTGAGTGATACTATCGTCACATCCATAGCTGCTTTAAGAGTAAACAGATACGCACATGCTGACAAATGTGCACCTTGTGACTGAAATACATCAAACATGCACTGTGATGTATTCTTGTACATATGTCACATTAAGCCTGCCTGTGTGGGAATTTTGTATATACATTTGAGTTACATTTCATGGTAATATGATGGGCGTTGAAGAAACTGAACTCATGTGAGAGGTTCAGATAGTTGTTGGGGAAATGGTACAGTTACAGGAGACATCAAGAGCAAGTCTGCCTCCTGCTGTATGCAAATGTGACTGCACTTTCCTGAGCCGTAATACGATGATAAAAGAAGAGTTAATATCATGTTTTTCACCTTTGTATTGCCTGGCTTGTTTTCCCACTTATTTCAGTGTTTATTTTTAGATTTAATGTTCAGATGTCTGACTGACCAGAGCTCAAGTTCTAAGTCAGTGTATTGATCCAAAGTACATATCATACGTTTATAACTGTTTCATTAAGTTTTCAAGCAAAAACATTTTTTGCTTCTTAAATGTAAGGATTTTCTGCCTTTGAGCATTTGATAAAAGTATATATCAAATATATTTGAGGCTTTGGGTATTAACCTTTTTTTTGGCATTTAAAAACTAAAACATTGACAGACAAACCAGCAGAATGACAGTTAATGACAGACAAAAAAAACTGCATCAAAACAAAATGCATCAGTATCCAATGAATCAACTTTGTTATTTTCTCGGGTAAGATGTGAATCATTTCCTTCAAATGAAACCTGTCCCATCTCAGCACTCTTGTCATTCAGTGCTCCTGCAGATACTGTTCTGCAGAGCTACAGCCCAGTGAAGTCTGAAGTAATCGTTTCCCTTTATATCTGAAGGAGCACCAGAGCTTTTGTGGTGGGTTTGACGATTGACAAGTATGAGAATGGGAATGAGCCTGGGTGCCAAGATGCCCACAAAGCCCATAGACATAAGAAGGAGATAAGGCTTTGAGAGCTATAGCGTTTGTTTATCCCCTGTTATCAACATTTTTTTACTGGACAGCCTTAACTACAGGTGTGAACGCCCACAGGACACATTGAGGGAGGTTTAAGATCCAGTAAATCAGGCTATATATGGTGATGGCCTGCGATGCATTTGTCCACTTTGGTCTGGCAGTGTGTGCATACACATGTCCTGAGCCACATCATCCACTCTCCTCCTGTTGATGGCTAAGAACAAAGGTTTTTCATGCTCTCTGTAACTGCATGAATCAGATCGGTCCTGTATGCACACCCTGATATAATGCATGATGCATGTCTCCACATGCTGTGGATGACACGTTCGGGAGAGCTGACCAACAGTCTGGTCATCAGATTTTTTTTAAAGTTCACATATTGTTCTACTAGCTCAGCTCTTTCACTTCCAAGTGAAAGGGTTTAGTGAAAACTACATTTTGTTCAAGACATTTCTCTTCCCTTTTTTTTTTTGTGATGACTGCTGTTTTAGCTCCTTCCCCATCATTTAGACACCTCTCACTCTGAGGCTTGAAGACCTACAAAATGGCTCTTGATGTCTTCTGAAGGTTTAGTTGTGAGTTTCTCGTCTTTTGTTCTGGGATTGAAGTCTGTCTTTCAGTGCTGCTTTGAGGCAGAGCGAGGAACATTGATTTTTTTTTTTTCTTTCCTTCTCAGTCATGTCTCGGAACATTAGCTTTTTGATTTTCTTACATCAAAATATTGTTTTGCAGAGGCAACATAAATAATTCATCACAATAGAGAGGAGCTTTGTATTATAAGTAAGAAACAATTGTATTTATTATGATATCAATACATTTCTTCTATATACACACAGTAATAAAAATGCAGTCTTAGTAGCACATTGAGTTGTTTACAAGTATGACTTCTTTCACTGTTCAGGCATACTGCAAGACTTTCCCCTTGATTGCATGAGCAAATTTGGACTCTCCCTGTGAAAAAAAAATGCTGCTTATGTTTTTGCCAACAAATGTACATGTGTAATTAATTTCCATGAGAATAAATTAAAAAAAGCATTACTTTGTAATCAATTACCAGTGAACAGTTTAAAAAAAACAACACATTTTACAAATAGCTGATGAGGAAATTCTCTACAATAGTGTTCAGTGTTGAAAATGAAATGTAAAATCGAGCGTTCATTAAATGGCAATACTGAAGAGTAAAAAGGTAAAACCCAAAAACATTGCTTCACAGTAAACAAAAACATGAAATAGCAAATTCAAGTAAAACAGGATGATGTTAAGTTAAAACAAAATAAAAATAAAAATCCCCTTGTGACTGTTAATAAAGGAGATATTACGTAACTCAACTTTAACAAGAGAACAATCAAAATTCATCTGGTTTTTAAAGATAGCTTTAAACTGTAAAACAAGACGTCAAAATAATATTATACACAACCAGGAAATCTTTCCCATAACATCTCAGTGTATATTCATGTGAAAATATTTTTACAAGTACAGTTAACTATGCAATACATGACTGTCCTTAGCAATTATTCTATTTCTTTAAGGACAAAAAATATACAGCCCTTAACTATGATAATATCTCTGAGTCACATAGACAAACAAATATTCATGTTTTCACAATATCCAAATTTGGCAACAGCAGGCAGGACTATAGAATGCTGCCCAAATGTGCAAACCATGCCAATCGAAGCAACTGATTAGATTCCATGATTGTACCAATAATTCATCTTTCAAAGCTTACACTTGACTTTTATGTAACAGCATTTCATTTGGGATAAAGCTCCCTCATTCTTGATTCCTGTATTGCTCCACTGATGATCCTACCTGTACAAAAAGCATTCAGCAAAGTAAGGTAAGGAGGGATATATCTTCTAGCTGTGCGATATACGTCAATGCCCATGCATTGTTTGTGAAGACTGATGACTGATCTTATGGAGCCCATGTAAAGCTGTCTAAGACACTCACTATCAGCCTGTGCTCGTCAGCTTTTATGTGCCACAGTCAGAGGAAGAACCTGATTTCTCCCTTCGTACCCAAATGTCATCTTTCACTGCTTGCTCTTGACCCTCCAGATCATCATCATCATCAGGTGTTTCACCAACTGTTGGGGATTTAAGGCTCTCACTCTCGGTTTCCTCACCCTCCAAGGATAAAGCCATGACAGGAGCCTCCAGGTCATCCTCAGCGGATGGCATTCTGGGAGGCTTGCTGAACTCGTCATCCTCATCACTAAGGATGTCAGTCTCCTTCACCTCTTCCCGGTCCTCGTATTCCTCTAGGTCAAATTGTTCCTCCACCCAGCGATCTGTGTCACCTGCCACCTCGGACTGCTGCTGCTGCTGATCGGGTTCATCCTCCTTCTTTAGTCTGTTTGAATCAGACTCTTGTGGTGAAGCAGGGTCCTGTTCGGGCTCACCATCAAAAACAATGTCTGTGTCTATGGTGAAGCGGTTGCGCACCAACTTCCTTCTGCCGAGTGTCCTGGAAGGGGCAGATGCTACCCAAAAAAAAAAACAACAACATATGATTAAAATCAAGTCATTGAAATTGCTTTTAAAACTCTCCCATGACATTGCATTATATTGTGGTATCATCTTATAAATACTCTTTTTTTCAAATGTTGATGACTAGCTGAATGTAACTGTTCATCAGAGTAAAATAACAGATTAAATAAATAATAAATAATAATAACGTTTTGCTTTGACTTTAAGTACAAAAAGAGATTTTTTTAAAAACAATATGTAACTTTTTTTTTTTTTTTTTAATCTATAGGCTTAAGTTTATTTGAATGCAGAGATCTCCCCAAATTGACAGTCTTATACCAGTGCATATCATATTGCTGATTTTACAGTATATCTATACATGTGGTAAAGCACCAAAACATTCTATCTGTGTCAGAAAAAGAGCAGCAAATTTAGAATTGGGACACTTGGAGCTGGAGGGAGAATGTAGCCACAGACTGGCATTTACCTGCTCTATTTATGGCAGGACGGGCTCCCTTCAGGGCACAGAGGCGCTTTCCTCCAAAGGGCACATACTGCTGGTTAAGGGGTAAACTCTCTGTTTTAAGGAGCTGCCGGCGGTGCTTTTCTCTCAAGATGGAATGGACTGTCTTCAGAAAGTCTTTTTTACTCTCTGGAGAGCTGAGAGAGATAAAAGGGCATGTTATCAGTTTGACATTCTATAGATATCAGCTGACAGCACTTTATCAGTGCAGGCTTCAATCTTCAGAGGAATTCAACCTCCATCAGAAGAGATCCTTACCTACAGCACAGCTGAAACGTCCTCTCTGGCCTCCCCTCTGACTCTGACTTTGTGTGGACGATCTCACACACAGCAGAGCCCTCGCCATCTAATAAAGAATCAAAATGCATGCTGTCTTACATAAAAAGCAATCTGGTAAGGTTTATATGTTTTTGATTTGAAAGGAAAAAAAATATTTCAACCCGTTACCTAACATTATTCATCAAATAATTTACCTGCATTCGCCAAGGATCTGACTTGGAGGGCATCAGTTGGGATCATGTGACGGTATCTGAAGGGGTCTTTTTCTTCAGAAGCTTCAGACACGCGATGGTAGCCACCCTACAATCATTCAAAACATAGACATTTAGTTAATCTTTTCTGCCATCCCCATGCTTTTGAAATAAGTCCCAGCAGTTATATTTTACTGGTGACCTACTGGGCTGATTCTGATTGAATTAATTAACAATGCAATAATACACAATAATGTATATTTCAAAAGGGCTTTGTAATAGTTGATGGCTTCTTTTTCTGTAAGAAACGTACAATTTTCTTTTTCTGCTTGGCTCCATCTTTGCAAACGAAGACCACTGCCATTTTGAACACTGAAAAAAAAGAGAGGAAAAGGTTATCACTCATAGTCAAGAAGGCGTGAAAAGATTGAGTTCAAATCACATCATCATGGAGGAAACTGTATTCTGACATACCAAATGTAGCCAACTGGGGCTCTTTCTTCCATTTTCCTAGAGAGGCTGGGGGGTTGATCCAGCTCACAGTGGTGTGGAGAAGCAGGTCACCCATGGACAAATCAGCAACCTGGCAAAAACCAGCAAAATATCAACTGTCACTCTGAACGTATTCAAGTTGTTAAAAGATCCAAGTCATTCATTCAACATACCTCTTTCTTGTCCCCACTCTGCTCAGTGATGAGCAGATCAAACACTGCTCCAAACTCCTCATGGATCTTCTGCATCTCATTGATGTGGCTGGCAACTTTGTTCATGGCTTTCATGGCAACTGCAGATGGGAGTAAACATCAATTAATTTGAGCTGTAGTGACCGTGCACATTCACCCACATGGTCCCCTCTTGGAATGATTAGGTCTTAACCGTCAGCCTTGTGGCCCAGTCTTACCATCAAGGTGGTAATGCTCCTCGCTGTCTGGGTCTGTGAGTGAGTACAGCTCCTTCAGCAGCAGGGGATACTTAAGCACCCTCTGAATTGGTTTGATCAGGTATGACTCCAGGGTGGAGGAGTGCTGCTGCTTGGGGTTTCGCTCATCCAGGAAGGCTTTGAAATCGGCATCGGTTTTGGCTGCAATGACCAATAAAAAACACTAAATGTAACTCTTTCAGGCATCAAATCCACTTTCCTTTCATTTTTTCCTTTCCACAACTGATATGTTGGCATGCAGATGATTCTACGCTAGTGTTTTATTTAAGTGTTTTGGTTTATGGCCTGCCATATACAGTATAAAAAAGCTCAACTCTGGTATGGGGCGGATCTTTTGTTTTCGTTCTTTCGTTTGTGGGCAGGATAATAAAATATGTTTACAGCTTTCATTAACAGCTTTATCTCCATCCTAACTCAGAATGGCAAATAACTTGTTAACCTGTTGAATGTAAACAAAGCCATCCACTCAAATGTTTAAGGGAGTGGATGTAGTAGCAACAGGCTGTTCAACACTTCCCATTATATATCATACAATCTTGCAAGGCTCTTCAGCCCCGGGAGCCAACAGCTTGAAAGTATGCAGAGGTCAAATGGACAACTGTCTGGCTGACAGTTCCACAGAGCAGATTTATGGAGCCTTGCAGGATATGGCAGATGGTTGATGGATAAATACATCCTCTCCTTTGAGGCAAGAAGGAATGTCAACCCAAGAGCACATTTACTCACCCTTTACGAGGACCTTAGGGACTTTGGTGTGGCTTGCGCAGAAAGCACTGTAGATTTTAAAACGGTCTGCATAGTACAGGAAAGAGCCTCCCAGAGAGAACAGGATTTTCTGTGGAAAAAAAAAAAGGTGGCAGTCAGACAACCAGTAGTTGTTAGAAACGTTTTGAAGTCTCGTTGATGGTCATATTTCATGGAGTATGATTCACAAAGATAGGGAATACCTTAAACTGATCCACTCGCTCCAGCTTCTCTAGGTCTGGAACCAGTCGAGTCCCATCTTCCAGGGTTTTAAGAAATTCAACCTGGAACTCCACCATTTCTGGCAAGTTCCCAAACAGAACATCCAGCTGGAGGATAAATACATAAAGGAAGGTCAAATAATGTCTCCTTTTTTTCTCTCTCTTTATATAATGCATCTAATAGTAAATCCTTCCCACAGTTAGAGCCTGGACGTGATCCAAAAATGCATTTAATTACAACAAGTGCATGTAAAACATCTCTTAACTGCAAACCTCCCCCTCTCTCATCATCATCATCCACCCCTCTTGTCCTTGTACACAGATACTCTCCACATGATTATGTAAGCCACTTTTCACTTGGAACATTTCAACTGTGTTGGCATTTAAAAGGCAGCTACCCCTCATTGGCTCCTGGGGAACATTTAACATACCTCATCCTGAGTGAGGAAGGTCTCTTTCTGCAGTGGGGTTAAATATCTCCCAATGAGGCAATTGAGATCCTGCAAGACAAAAGGGAATCGTGTTTGAGAAAAGGGCTGCCCAAGTCATTATGTGAAATACAGAGAGAAAAACCACGCTGCTTTACAAGTTTATTCACAACAAAACGGTGATTAAGTCGAGCAGTCTGACAGTTTCTTCTGTGTAAAAGAAAGAATGGCTGATGGATGCCTTGCAGTACAAACTTTCAAAGGAAAGTGAGTGGAAAATCATTTCCATGAAGGACTATGGTAACAGTTACCTAAGCTGAACTATAGAGAGCCTATGAGATTCATTTGGAGATCTGCCAAAAAAATAGAAAAATTGACCATCTAATGTCTCCTTTATCATCCTTATTATAATCTTAAAATTAACTCAACCTCAAAGTAACTTTCAATTAACTGTGAGTAAAGAAGCAGGTCAGTAGATTCTTAAAAAGTGAATTGTCTGTATATAAACATTAATAATGCCTGCTATTTAATATGAGTTAAAAAAAAAAAAATCAAGACAGCATGGGATGCATAAAAACACCACAAGCTTAAAGTGACAAACTCTAAAGTGATGAAATTATGATCTGTCTTTTTAGCAATTTTAAGCATTGTTTTCATCAAAATAATTATTTTTCTCTGTTTCCGTATATTTCATCTACCTTTTTATTACATTTGTAGCTGAACAGACAGTCCCTGTTCTGCACATTTCACACACAGACCTACAAAAGGTATCTCTTAACTCTAATAACGACAAATAGCCAAAATATCAAACAACCCCATTTGAAAAAATCACAATACACCATCCATCATACAAAGTGTTATTACAATCTTAATAATGTATAGCAAGCTCCAGCTGAAATAAGATACAACATTTGCGATAGCCTTGACTTTATCCCATTATATACCCTCTCTAACCCAGTTATTCCACTGAGCCACATTTATACCGGGCAGAAAAAAAGATTAGGCAATATCCAAGCAAGGGCACAGCTGTGTCCCCTTAATGTCTCCTGGGATGGAGATATAAATATGGATTGGTCATGTGGAATAGGTAATATGTTGGAATAAACAAACCTGAGGCTGACAGAAACACAGATCAATGGACAGGAGGAACAAACACACACACTCACAAAAGACCATCTGGCTCTTACAAGTAAGATGAGTAATACTGACTTTGACATAGGTGCGTTCGGTCTCCACCAGCTCACAAATGACTTTGCGGAGCTTGTCGGCATCCGAGAGCAGTCGCAGAGTTGCAGGAGGTGGAAAGGGCGAGTCCGGGCTAGGCGAAGAGGACACACACTCCGAGGGATTCATGTCATGGAGACTGCGACAGAAAGCAGCGACTTGCTCTGTACTCTGCAAATTGAGAGGAAAAGAAAAGTCTAGCATAAAAAAGCATGCAACTCCGATTTGGAGGCAAAAGAAGTCAAATCCAAAGATGTATCGGTCAGTAAAGACGCAGCACCTTAAATATTAGATCGCTGTTGTTACTTTCCATGCATATGCACAGAGTCATGACTGTGCAGAGAGTGAGCCTGGAAAGAGGAAGAGAGGCAGCTCTAAAAAAATCATTTGCACTAATTTGGTCTATTTTCAGTGTGTCATAACAATGACTCTCCACCTACCTCTCTTTCACTCACATCCCTCTCTTTCCTGATGTTTTCCTCCTACTGATGGATCAGTGGTGTAATGATTCATCTCTATCACAGAATCAAAATATACACACAACAGACCTGTCCAAATACAGTATGGGTTGCCGTGGAGACCAGCCTTGATGTGCACTAGACTATCATTTTGGACAAAAATAGACCCCACTAAGCAACAGCTTACATGGCTGTACTAATACCAGTGTTTCCCCTACCATTATATTAGGGGGCGCCACCCCCCCCCCGAGGGTCAAGTAAAAAATAAAATAAAATAAAAAAATACATTAACCCTTTCCGATAGAAAAGGACAGCTGTCATTAAAAGTAACGCATGAACACCAAGATGTTTGTGTCAGTGTGTCGGCATGTGTGTCCCCCCCCCCCCCAAAAGCTGTAAACCTAGGGGAAACACTGAATACGGGTTACTTTGAATGCAACAAGCAACAGGCACATCCACCATGACAACCTAAGAGGCTTTTTAACATAAACACAAAACAAAAAACACCAAAACTGTTGAAGTACCCATTTCACCTGTATTTCATCTTATGACAGAGGGATGTAACAGATCAAACACTTTCCATACTTACTATTTCAGAGCAAGTAATACATAAAGGTTATATGGTTAAGTTGCAGGGAACAAACCTTTATAGCCTCATAACAGGAACCACTAGCTGGTATTGAAGCCACTGAGTGCAAAGCAGAAAGCTGAAAGGTCTCTAGGTGGTAATATAAGGATTTTTATAGGCCAGACAGAAGCAATTTATTCTGTTGCACCTACAAGCTCCTTTGAGAATAATAATAACAAAGCCTCCATTCAGCAGTTTTGGATGGGTCGTTATTATTCTCAAATAAACATAATCTTAATTAAATTCTGAAGAACAGGCCTGACATCATTCTAAACATTTGAGGCTCATATTAGGCATCACTGATTGATCATTGAGTTCCAATCATCAACTTATTGTTTAAATTAGTTTGAAATCCATGTTTTCAAGATTTACTTTCATTGTTGCTTCTAATATTTCAAAGTCAAATGTCAATTACATACAGAACATCGGAGGCTCTTTTGTATCCAATGCCAGTCACACATCCTCTCAATGGTTATCACCATTGTTATCTAATCAGACAGACACATCCATGTGTGAGGCACGACAGCAATTTGTCTCTCTAGAAAATGTTCCCAAAGGCGGCTCCCAGATCAACAGATGAGAAGTGTGATAACGTATGAAAATGTAATTTGTGTACCACCTTCACTGGTGCTTTGTTGGCTCATTCTATAGTATGGAGCCACTGTGTTAAGTATTCTGTCAACCTTGATGAACTTTTCAATGATTAAAATATCATAATCTCTTAATCGCCATCACAACCATTTGAATATAAAGAGTTGATATATTAAAATCAAGTTGCCTGACAAAGGTCTCCCCTCCCCAACCAAAACCTTCCTTCACGAATGCATTTACTGTGAATGTGAATGATGTGCTGTAATAAAAACAGCTTTGGGGATCATGTCATCACAGATCAATTGAGATCTACTCAATTTGCAGCCAGTGACATATGATGACATAATAGTTTTCCTCGATGTATTTCTTAGTTCTTGCAAACCAATACTTGTGATTAGTGTATAACAAAGTGAAAGAAGATGTAAAAGAGCAGCTTGGCATCAAACCAGCACAAATTCAAACTGCATTCTTTTGATTTTGCAACCCAGAAAAGAGAAAAGATGGGGTGAAATCTGTAAATAAATCTGATTCATTTCATCAGCCCAATTATTCATCTGAGCTCAGCCAGTTTCAGTGAGCCTGATGAGACACAGTCACAGCCCAGTCATACTCTTCACAAACACAATCCAGGCTCATTAACAGCATGACAGCTCTGCATGCATGGACAATCATGACATGGCAGGGTGAAGAGAACTAAAAGAAAGAGGAGGGGGTCAGAGCATTGACTGCCCCATGAAAATACCAATATGAAGATAAAAGAGGCTAACATTTATAAAACCATGCATTGTCAGAGGCAAGGCTTTCCCCCAAGTAAAGGCAATTGAAGTATGAATGCAGAGATTATGGGTTAAGAGAAGATTGCACATCTATTTTCTGAAACTAAGATAAGCCTGAGACCACAGCTCAAGATGCAAACAGAGAATACTCTACAGAAGTCGCAGAGTCACAGCAAAAGCATATTGTCAAAGTCGAGTCACTCCTACATGCAGTGTTTGATTTTGCATCCTGTGAAGCACTCCTGTGATTACAGGGCATCTCTGCGACACAGTGGTGACTCACAGCTTCCTTTTGTCTGTCTGTAGCAGCCAAAAGCATGTGAGACACAAACAGTGAGAAGCAGAGGTGTTTCACTCTCACTGGAATACCACAACGGCTTGCCATCTATCACAGCAGTACCAAGAGTTTGCTAGGTAAAGGAAAGCGGTACAAGGAAGGAATCTCACCAGATGAAGTATGTCATGGACGGAGTCTGTGGAGCGCTTGCTGTGTTTACTCCACTTCAGGATGGACATTGCCAGGTGAAGGTGGACAGTCAGCGTCACGTTAGGAGGAAAAGTGACTCCAGGCTTTTGAAAGAATCAAGTCTACCCTGCGCCTCTCCAACACATTTCTTCTCACTTTTGTCTTCCTTTTTTTTTTTTTTTTAAAGGAGAAGGTCCTGTGGAGTCTGTGATGAGAGATGAGCAAAGCTGCTCAGCCTCCTCCTCTCCGCCCACCAGCGCCTACAGCCTCCCAACTCCTTCTTCTCGCCTTCAGAGTCTGCTATAGATCTGTCACTGTTATGTAGCCGTTTTCTCTCCCTCCCTCCCTCCCTCTCGCTCTCTCTCTCTCCTCTACAGACTGGTTTTAACTCAGGCACACAGAGTGAGTGTGAAGATCTAGCCAACTCCAGCACTATCATAAATGAGTCTTTACAATTCTCCAGACCGGAGCGAGAGGAAAGGAGCAGGAGGCAAGAGTCTCCTCCTCAAGGTTGTGGTTAAGCAGGATTGGCTGGGAGAGCAGCACCGCAGTAGAATATAAATGCAGGGATTCAGGATTAAGGACAGAGGAAGCAGGTTGTACAATAGGGCGAAGAATGGAAAAACCAGTTTGGGAGGTTTTGCAGGAGTAAAATGAGGAGTTGGAAATGTTGAGGTGTGCCAAAGAATGTTTGATGACAGGTCACAAATCAAACAAGGTACAAGTCCTTGTGATAAGTTCACATAGCAATGACTATACCCTTGTTCAGAGAAATAGAAAAAACTCAAGACTTATATAACAATAAAGTAAGTTGTTTAAACCAATACAAGTTTGGGCAGAGATTAATACATCCAGGTTGTGCCGTTACTGCGTGTTGCATAGTAGAGAGGCGACTGGTACTGGGTGAAACAATAATTTATTTCTGTATTCTTGTCTTTTAGCCCACAGCCTGTGCCATTAGTTGTATAATCGCCTGTAGCTGGTCTAAACCAGTCCCAAATGTTGAGTCTCGAAAAAAAGAGTCTTTCGAAAATGAAGTTTTTGCTCTGAATTATTAGCAATATTCTCTGACAACTAACTTGTGTAATCATCTAAAACTGCACAGAACATGTAAAAGGCAGCAGCAGCCACTTCATTAAATCAAGCTTTTTTTTTTTTCAATACATAAGTGTACCTGGATTTCTGCCCTTTGTGCAAATAATGAAAAAAATCTTTAAGGGTTGTCCATCATTTCATATTTTTTGGAATAAAAAATGTACTTGTGGCTACAGGTGTTTTAGGAAACTAATTTGTAGGATCTTGTTTTTTTGTTATGTTTGAGCTTGTGGATTTTAAGAAACAAAGATGCAATTCATCACTCATCTCTGAATCATGATGCTGCACTTTGTATAGTTCTGAAAGAATGTGAAGGTTTTCAGAGACAGCTTCAATGATTCATCTTCAGAAATGTAACCTCAAGAGAGAGAAGGGGCCGTCTACATTAAAAGAGGAAAAGAAAACAAAGGCGCACAATTTTAGTTGAAGTTAAAGAACGCTTTGTCATCTTTCTCAGTGATGGCGTGTTCTTGTTACCGCTAACACTGTCACCGGCTGTATATGTGGATATGCTCATATTCGTTCCTTTGTTACTCCTTGTCGCTTTGACCATCATTTGGTTGTAATGTTTTTCATCAACTACTCTGTTTTAACTCAGTGAGTTGCCTTTTGTTGTCTGTTTGTGTATAGTTAACATTTTGTCTTTGTTTTGTTTTTTTCTGTTCTGTTTCAATTTTTGAACTGTTGTCAATTTTTATCATCAAGTCATGTTGTGATGTGTCGTCTGTTGGGACCCCCTTTAAAATGAGATGGTACATCTCAAGGGGCTTATCCGAATAAAACAAATAAATACAATTTAACAGAACAAAGCATTGCTAAACCACTGTGAAGACATTCTGTGCACGTCCCTTTAGTTGGCTTTCATTCATCTGGTAGGATATTTGATGTACTGCTGCTCTTTTAAGAGACAAAAACAAAAGAGTTGAAGTCACCAGTCCATAAAATGAAGGGCAAGTTGGAAGAATGAGGTTCTCCCATTGACGTTTGATGTTCTAGTGAATATTAAGGAAGAAATAAAGTTTGAATAATTCAATCTAGAAGAAGATACCCATCCTACAGCGTTTCATCAGCAGCTGCCCTTTGAAATCAGCTAGTTTCAAAAATAATACCAGGATTTAATCTAATATAAAAACGTTATTTCGCTGCGTCGTTTTTTTTACAACTTGTAATCCAATGTACTTTAAAAGCTAAATATATTTATGTCTCTTTGATTTCCACTCTGTAAGAAGCTGCATATATGTACTGAAAGGAAGAGAGAAAACCTGATGCAAGGTGGTTCAAGAAGCAGGATAACACCTGGGTAATACGGACACGGTTTTCTTTCCTAAACAAGATCAAATAATCCAGCAACAGATGGTGATTCAAAATGTGAACACAGTCTTTTCAAATGCGTTTTTTACAATTCCACAGAGCTGAGAGGATGCAGTGAAGGACAAGGTACAGCACATCATATAAAAGATGTTCTTTCACAGGTTTTCATAATAGAGTCCAATGTGTGCCCTTACCTTTCTGCACTCATCAAACTCACTGAAGATCTCAGAGTCTTCATCCAGGCTGTCTCCTGAGCTCTCAAGCAACAGTCCCACACCGTCATCAAGAATCTCCTCTGCAACAGGCAAAAACAAAGTACGAGTTGCATAAAAAACACTGAATACAATTTGACTTATATTTAGACTGCTTCATTTTCCACAGCAATTTATGGACGCGTCTAAAATAATGATCCTAGCCTTCTATAATTGTGTTAAGTTTTAAGACCTTTACATTAAAAAATGCCGACCTTATCAAAGTATTCCACAAGGTTGGGCTGCAGCACACTGCTGAGATCCTCCTATGCTTGCTAATTAACACCCTGTAGAGTTAGTGTTTGCATAAATTAAACTAGTGTCACTAAGAGCACCAGCAGAAATCCTTTCTGCTCACAAGAAAGGAAAGCTCAGATACTGAGGACTGCCTCCATTTCCTTTCTGATCCATTTGGTATTTTTTGGTACAAAGTAATTACACCCCAGCTGGTCTGATAAACATGATCACAGTGTAAGCGGTGGGTTTGAAACACTAATCATGAGTCCTGAAGCTGTACTTTTGGAGTTAAACTCTTTTATAACTGGTGTTTCTCACCTTGACTCTGTGAGAAAATGTCTGTGTAGAGATCTTCCTGTGCGTCTGAGCGGCGTGGTGGCAGGTAGCAGAGCTGACGGCGTTCCACAGAAGGAAGGGTGTTGACTGTCAATGCAAGCGAGGCTTGAGAAAATGCTGCCTTCATGTCGGAGAAGTTGAGACTATGAGAGTCTTTTCCGTTTAGCTGAAGTATTTCATCCCCAGCATTTAGACCTGCAAAGTAAGAATCCCATCAGCTGTGAGTCCATTTGCTGCCTTTCACACATCCATACATTTAATCAAAAGTATCTGCACTAAGAGATGAATCAAGAATCTATCTCACATCAGTTTATTGATTGACCATAAGATGCTTTATTAAGATAAGCAGATCATTTTAAGACATCAACAAAGTTTAAATACTACTTTGGAGACCATTCAATGCAAATGAGATGTTATACATTTCCCTTTTCACCTTCCTTTCTTCTTGATCCCCTTTTTGTCACCTGCAGGTATCACATATCCTGCTGCAAAGCATCACGGCCTGTGCTCTCTCTGCACTGTGACCATCTTCATTATAATATGTCACCTCCCTCAAACCTGCAGTCTAACTTTGTAGCAAAGCTACTGATGTGAAGCAGCTGCAGTGAAGCTTTGAATTCATTGTCATCCTTCACAAAGGCCAGTGAGAGGCACTGTGGTTATGATTATAGTAATCAACTTCCCTAAGAACAGCTGAAATGTTGCTGCCTAGTCAAAAAAAACATACGCTAATGCATCTCTGAAGCAGAAAAGCAAAAAGGTCTGTTGACCTCCATGTACGATGAGCCTTTTCTTTAGAAAACAAGTAAGACACTTGCCGTCTTACATTATGTCATGAGTTCACACACAGATTGTCTTTGAAGGGAGTTTATTTGATGGAAATGAAGCTTAATGTACCTTTGGCGAAGGCTAATCCGCCTGCCTTCACATCAGTGATGTAGAGCTGCTGTACTTCATCCTCCTCCACCACTGAAATGGAGAAACCTGGAGGAGGGAAAGGAGAGGCAAGAAGTGTAGGAGAGAGAGAGAGAGAGAAGAGGGACTCTTACATAAAACTCATCAGAGGGATTTTTGCAGTACAAATGGGAATAGTGTGGAAAAAAACATGGGCCATGTTTAGGTCAAAGAAAAGCAATTATTGTGCTGACAACAACAGCACTGCATATGAAATCTTTCAAATTGACTTCATTACAGCATCTTAACTGCAAACCAAATATCAAATTATAAATGTCATCTAAAAAAAAAAAAACTACATAGGATAATTCAAAAGAGTACCTACCATAACCAATCATGCAGGATTCATCTCGGTCGAACTGGATTACTTTAGTTATTTTGGAGCAGAGCTCAATTTCTTTGTAAAGCTGTGAAAGACAAAAAAAAGTTACATAAATCATAAAATAACGGCCTACTTTATTCATATTCTGGTGGGTGGGTTTCTGACAGAATGGAGAAAGAGCGTTCATTTTCTGTTTCATTAGACAAAGCAGCTCTAACAGAGGGTATGATGTGTCATGATAACACCCTGTTACGACAAAAGTCACTGCAGCTATTGCTTATTAAGGCGCTCCTTTAATAGATTGATGTTTTATTGCATGCTCCTCCCAGGCACACAATTCTCCAGAGAATACATTTGAAATTGAAAGGACAAAAAAAAACAAAACCTATTAATAATTCACAACTGCGATGCGCTTGTGGTTTTAGTTCAGATTGTGATTCTTTACACAACAAAGTGATCGGGGCTTACTCACACCTTTTCTACGCCTTTTTAATTTGAAGTAGTCAAAGATATATTCACACTGAAAGTTACACACCAAGTCGCACACATCTTCTTCTGGTTTGGGAATGTAGAATTGCACTTGGTTTTCAATAAGGAGTTTAAGCCGCAGGTAGTGCTTAGTAGGATCCAGTTGATGAGCCTGTGGCATGAGAGCAAAAACGACAGAATGAGGATGTGTTGTTTGATAGCATAAACGTGAATCTATTTTGACAACAAAGGTTTACTAGTTCGCATTTTTACCCAGCAAAATAGCGATGTCATCTTTCATACATTATAAGTCAGACTGTTATTTGTCTACTTTAGTAGGCTTCCATTACTGAAGTGCTCTGTCCCTGATCTTTGTCACGCAAACATCACTGTAGTGAAATGTGATCCTTGGGTCCGGTAAGGTCAGGTCGTTTCAGGTTAGGAAGTGTTACCTTGCAAATGGTTTCCAGAACACACAGTGCCGACTCCCCGGGCTGGATGATTGTTAGCACTGGCTGGTCATTCGGCAGACACACCCAGGAAGGAGTGAGGTGGTCAGGGACCCACAGGTCACTCTCCGTGCTTGGCCGTGGAAAGCTTTTCACAGTTCCACCTTCACTTTTCTTTGAACAAAGACAAGAAAAGTCACATTTAACTGCAAAGTTTGGTCTGCAGTGTTGTGTCGTATTACCAACTGGATATAATAGATAGAAAAATCAGAAGAAAGACGGCTGGCTTCATAACGTTGGGATGAAGCTCCCACTTATTTTTGACCTACAACACCGTGCTAACACCATTAGTCCTCCTTACCGTGTGTTCATTGGCAGGATCAACAAATGTGCCTTCCAAAGGCTTCTTCGCTGGCTCTTCGCCATCAGCAAAGACCTGCTAGGACAAAAGGAGAAGGTCAGGTGGTCATAACTCAAAAAGCAGATCTATTTAACGCTGACCGTTTCAAATAGATGAAAGTCTTACAGACCTGGTTGATACTGGGATGAGCTTTTGTTTTTTTCTTTGAGGTAGTGTCAAGACCCCAGAGAGAGGAGAACCTGCTCTTGCGCTTGCTGCAGGAACGTGACATGGCCTGTGTCCGCCGTCGCACGCCGGTCTCTGTGCGAGCTGCCACCTGGAAAAAAAAAACCCCGAAATTCAGTCAAAGCTCAAAAAAAGCTAAATGTGACATAGACAACCATCTGTTTGACCTCATTTCATGTCACACTTAGCTAATATTTTAATTTATTCATACAGTTAACAAAAATAAAGGAATACATAAAAAAGCAACTTGAAGGGGAACAGATATGTGGTCTTGTACGATGTACAAAATGTAAAACATATGCAACTCATCAGAAGGCATTTTCACTTATCTGTTTAAATTAAAGAGGAGAAGGGGTCAATTTGGCCTTGTATGATAAATAAGAGAGATGAAGATGTCTATTTCACACAAACACACTAGCCTAAAGCAGGCTTTTACCCAACCTGGCATTTCTCGGCTGCTCGTATGCGACAAGATGGCATTCAAAGCACTGTGCGTGTAGGACCAAGCATGCTCTGAATCTAACCTCTTCTTGATCCGTCAATTTTTCTCATCTCTTTTTTGGACATAATGCTGATAGAGGGATTCGCGGAAGTAGACATGTGCAAATTTGAGGGGAGAAAAACAGTAGGAACGAAGAAGAGCGCTGTTGGATTGTGCCTTTAGTTAGATGTCCCACTCTGCTACCTCTTGCTGCCCAAACACCCACCTGCTCCACAGCTTGCGTTGGTGGTACGGGAAAAAAAAAAAAAAGAGTACATCAATGATCTGAAAACTTGTCTCTAAAAAATCGAATACTTGTTTTCCTGTACTACAAGTGCTTTTTAGCTGTGGAGTACGTAACCTCCATACAGGAGTGGGAGGAATAAAATGAAACAAGCCTCTTTGACAGCTGCCCTGCATGAGACACAGCCTTAAAAATAGCACTCATTGTCGGGAAAGATGTTAAACAGTAGATGTATGAGTTCCTAGAACCACCATGTGTACTACTAAGTCATGACAAGGTAACTTTGAAAGAATATACAGTACAGTATTTCACTATGCTTACTTCTAAATGAATGAATTTCTAAATTTTAATGCTACAGTTTGTGTAGCTGAAGTAATCTAGAACTAATCATTACAAGCTTCACTATTCAGTGATTTTAAGACAAATTTGTGTTAGCTTCAGGTTCATGTATTGAAGTGTATACATTTAAATAAAGTATCTCATACAAAGTGTAAAACATCTATATTCAATAAAACCCAATATCAAAAGGGCTTTTAGTACAGTTGAAGAATAAAAGAGGTTATATTTACCAATGCATGGAAGGAAGAGACGGAGAATATCCCCAGACGTCCCATGGCCAGCTTTGTGGGGCGAGATGCAAAGGCCAGGAGGCGTTTGGGGTTGGGCAGCTCTCCTCCCTGCAGACTGGCCAGGTAGCATCTGAAGCGGAATAGATCCATGTGAAACTGCTCCAGGTTTTGCTCCCACAAGAAGATCTGCAGGATGAGAGGGAAACAATAAAACTTCCAGTTGATTGTTCATCAAAGTTCTGTTTGTCGACTCTAGCCCAAGACAGGGCATCTCCTCTCTTTGGAAGCTCTGCTGTAAATTTGTAAAACAGTATTGCCAACCTGCGCTCTCTGTAAGTAATGGGTGGATGTTTACTGGGGCAGTAGAGCAGCACATTGTGATTATGCACTGCGCCGTCCCCTCCTAGTCACGGTCCTACACTGCTGTTTGGAAGAGGTGGGCAGCACCATGGTGGAGGGCTCTGTATCACTGCCAAGTAGCCCAGAGATGAGAAAGAAACAATACTGCACATTCCACTGGCAGATAGAGTCTGGGAGCGCTTCAGCTTTCCAAGGAGCAGGCCTATATCCATTCAGCTCTGCACAATGTGAAACCTGACACTGCCAAAAAGAACCGCTCCAACCAGTCACTACCTAACTGACCAAACAAAGGCCATTTGATCCCCCTTCTCTGTAAACATTCCCATTCAAGACAATATGAGCCTTGCAATTAAGCAAGAGAATGGCAGGCTTTCCACTGGTGCCAACTGCCTACCATGTTGAGAAAACAAAAAGCAACCTGGTGGCTGATAAGTGTGGAGCAGCAGCAGCAGCCTCAATGATGAAAGCTCTGATATCTGTTACTTAATCCCCCTCTTACCTCTCTTAGAAAATGATTGGTGGGTTGTGGTTCATCATGAAGCTAATTTCCTACTTTATCAAGTTCAACAGTTGAGTTTAAAGTCACAACAGTCAGCGACGGCAGCAGCAGGAGGTTGATGGCAAAAACTCTTGTGTTGATTAAAAGTTTTACGAGTGTTTCTGAGACTTTACTAAATTCAGGAAGAGCTGGTTCTTGACCTTTTATCAATCCCTCTTGGATTAGATTGCTTATCAGCACAAATAGATTAGTCAAACGTAAAGGTTGATTTTCACAAACACAAGTACTGAATTAGAGAAAAATGTTTCATCAGGTGGTACTGTCATCTTGAACTGAATGACAATTAAAACACAATCAATCCATCAACTTTTTATTTAATGCCAAATCAAATAATTTAATAACCAAAAGTTATCCCAGGACAGTTAGTAATAAAGAAGGTCTAGAATTTCCTTCATGTCATTGAAAGACACCCATCATAATTTCACCGTTAGCAAGCAACAAAGTTTGGCAACTGTGGCAGGAAATAGTCTGCCCCGTTTGGAAATCTCAGATGTGTTTTTTTTAGCTAAAGGTATATTGAAAAACCAAACAAAAAGACTACATATAAGCTCAATACAGAAAAGAATTGTAAGAAAATTGACAGGATACCGGATTGAGGATATATGGACAAAAGAAATTATCTTGACAAAATTGGGTTTATTTCTTTACTAGACAAATTGAGTATTTTAATATTATCCACTCAATGAAATAAGAGAGGTCAAATGGGGAACAGAAACAGATACATGTAAATGTAAACAGCACTGACAACAAGTCAGCATAATACTTCTCAAATTCTAATCCCACTGCCTGACGTGTGGGAACTCTGTAAGAGGCAAGCTGAACAAACAGAATACACATACCTGATCCAGGATCGTCTTCCTCTTCTTGGTGTCAGTAACAGCAGACAGCTGCATGTCTCCCATCTTCTTCATCTTCTCGTCCATGTCTATCTTCTGCTCCAGCTTTTTGATCTCGGCACGAAGCAGGCGGACCGTGTCCTCTCGGTGGTGTTGGCGGGCGACGGCGGTGGCACATGCAGAGTGGACAGCGGTGATCCAGTTCTCCAGCTCTGTCTGGCTGCAGGTCTGTGTGGGGACACACGGTAAAAGGTCAGAGGTTAAACAACAAAACCAAACGCCATGTACTTGTTTTTGGATGATTCACTGCTAATAATATACGAACATCAGGCTTTAAAGAGCATGAAAGGGGAACAAACAGTGTTAATATATGTTAAGGCAATGCTTACTAATGGGAGAATTTTGCACTTATTTACAGACCAGATGACATTTAAGTATTCTCTTACCTGGAAAAGAAAAGCATCTCCTAGGGAGTTGCTGAGACAGAACACAAAGTCCTTTTTGGGATGCTCCGGCACAGCCTGGACAATACTGTTCTCTACCCAGATGGCATGCTTTGGAATACTGTTGTTGTCGATCCCTGAGCGACCATCAGTCTCATAGAAGAAAAGAGTGCAGCCTGAAAAATCAAAAACAACCTATTAGAACAATGCTTGACTGACAAGAGAAAAGAATAATAATAATAATAATACATGATTTATCTTAAACACAGATTTTTTCAAGCAATTTAATTCTGCTCTCCAGTGGCCGATACTAAGAAGTGCAGCATGGCTCACTCATCAGCAACAAGGCACCATGATCATTCAAATGTTCTTTTGATTTCAAGCCCAGTCAAGTGCCATGTCATCTAATAATGAGCTTTGCATTGTGCATGAATTGAAGCTTGGTTCAATGAGATTAGTTAAGAGTTATATTAGATCAAGTTTCACTGCATGAGAAGCTGCATGTCAGTAGGAAACTAAACATTATCAAATGCCAACAGTGTTAACATGTATAGATAGTTATTTTATAGAATCAAGGTAAAATAATGAAGGGCAAAACGGACCTTTCAGGGAAACCCAATAACTCTTCCACTTGCGCCTCGTGGCTGACTCCACCTTCTTGTTCTTCTTATGCACGAGGAAGTTCTTGACAGCAAGCCTGCCAGCTTTGCGCACCATCCCCTGGGCAACACTTAGCAACGGGTCAGACTGGTAGGCGGAGCTCATAGTGCTTTGCTCATCACTCAGGGCCGACCCCGCCTCTTCCAGGCTTTCTGTCTGGCAGGAGCTCATTTCCAGTTCCTGGCGAAAGTTCTCGTACACGCCCTGCACACACTCGGCAGCCCCACCACCGCTGCTGCTGCCGCTGTCGCTGCCAGCGAACATGCTCCTGCCGGCAGCGGAGCACACGGAGAAGGAGGCCGACATGGTCTTGTACCTTCGGGACTGGTGCTCTGCCTCCACTGTCACCCCGTCGATGCCACTGTCCTCATACTCGCTGCCCTCCCCGGCTGTGACATCCTGCGTTGGGGAAGAAGCGCAAGACAGGTGAGTCGGCATGGTGCCCACCTTTTTTCATTGCTAAGAAGAAAGCCTTTCACCAGATTTTGGCCTGTGTGAAAGCAAAGCTGTCTCTGCAGATGCCGGATGGAGCCATTCTTCAAAATGAAACATGTTGCAAAGTGACTATGGAAGCCCAGTTAATCTTAAATTAATCACAAAAAGCAAAGCTGCTGTTGTGGGAGCACAGCCTGCCCTCCCTGTGGCACCGTAGGGTATGTCCTCTTCTACCCACATGGCCAAAGGCTCCTGAGAGATGAAGGGGGCTACACCGAGCTTGGTATCTCCATCTGGTCACATGACCCAATCATGCGCTCCAGAACTCTATTCACTAGGGCTGCCGGTGTCCCGTAGTGACAGGGCCACCACACACGTTTTACTGTTACACTCTTCCACAGGCCTCCCCTCATTATCATAACAAAGGACTGAGGCATTCTCAACAGGGAGTGACTTTAAGCTCTGCTTCCCCCTCCTGTCATTGGAGTTCCTCTCCCAGGAAAACTTAACAGATTTCATCGGGAAAGACCAATACCACACACGTGATATAAGCTTTCTTTTATACTTGAATCTGTTCAGTAGCTTATTATCTGTGAAGAGAATGCAGCAGAGGAAACGCCAAGACACAAGGGGGGAAATGTATAAAGGTAGGTGTCTTGTTGGTGATGCCACCAGACTACATTAAGATTCTGCAAAGCAACTCTGACTATGTCCAAAGAAGAACAAAAGAAGCAATGACACAGCTTGGACAAATCAGTTTCCCTTAAGTATGCTAAGCACCAAACTGCCATGAATACACTGTGTACTTCTTCATCAATGGAGAAAATGATTTGTTCTGTATTCTATTAATTATTTCTCATTGTAGAAGGACATATTGTAAGTTACGTTAATCACCACAGTGTGAAATTGCTCGACTTCTTACCTGTATAGTCTGTGCCCTCCTGCCCTGCATACTGGCACAAATGGCAGCTTGGTGGCTGCTTAGGCCTTCAGACAGGCAGTGTGAGCGCCGGCAGGGAAGGGTGTATGCACTGTAGGTGTTCCCATCCTCCTCTGATGGAGAGAGCATCTTGTCATCCTCTCCCTCCCTTACTGCCCTGTTTCCATCATGCCACTTAGCATAGCGGCGTTGGGCTTTCTGACGGGCGGGGTTCTTCTGGCTGTAAAGCTCGTCGAGTGAGTTGGCCCTGTCAGCTGAGTCTGTGGGACTGGAATGCAGGTGGCCTTCGCAGTCAGTAAAGTCCCTCTCATTGGCCATGTCTATGATCTCCTCCGTGCTCGTCAGATGCTCTTGGCTGAGGTCCGACAGAGAGAACTCTAGGCTGTCATCTCGCCACATGTCCGCAGATTTCGACCTCTTCTTCTTAAAGCTCGCACTCTCTTTAAGGCCCTCCTGAGTTTTCTGGAGGTAAGTCACCTCGCCGGTGTACAAATCTTCATCCTGCACCTCGTCCGCAGTGGGGCTAGGTAGGGTTACATGCATTGTTTTCATGTGAACAGACAGATTGGCCAGGTCATTGTGGAAGGACACAGGGCGCAGGTTCATGGCTACACGGTCCACCCAAATGGGACTACCAAAGTCAGGAAGTATGTTTGTCTCATTGAACGGCTCCAGACCATTGTCAGCTAGGGATTGTGGGATACTTGGAGTGCTGCTTGAGCGTGTGCTCGTCTCAGAGTTCCTGTGCTCTATTTTCCCTGATGAAGCATGTCTCGTGCGTCTGGACTGCTTGTTGGAGATGCGAAGAGAGCGAGACATGTGCTTACGTGACAAATAGCCATGCTCATTTCCGTAGAGGTTATGGTCCCCGTTCTGGCTCTCGGCATTTCCCATGATTCACAGGCTGAATAAAAGAGGAAATACATCTTAAAACAAATTCCGGAGAACATGAAAAGAAGACAGGATTATCATTTTTCAGTTGCAACAGAATTGTTTCTGACATCAAATGAAAGAATGTCTTTCTGAATGTTAGTATACCTGCAGGATCTTATTGGTTTTTCTGGCATTTTGTTTGTCTCTGGATATTCAGTCTGGTCCTTAACCTGCTGCAACAATCCACAAAGTGCTGAAAAAAAATACACAGACAAGACAGCATATCACATTTTTTGCACTTTGTTCAGTTAGTTGTGTGAGCTTTTTGAGTTAAGTACGGTCTTAGCATAGAAATACATCTGCAGCTTAAAATGTAAATAAAAGAGCCAATAGCGTTTTTTCTTGTGCTTAAAAAAAAGAGTAGTAGATAGCCGCGTTTACTTTCACAGAGATAATGGGACCAAATATTACATGCACAAGGAGCACACCAGTTGCTTACTGGTTGCATTATATAAACTTCTGGCTTGCCAACAGTGAATTTACCTGACTTACACCTAGTCAGGTTCACCACAAGAATTTTTACTAGGGGGCACAGTCAAGGTGAAAAATGTATCTGTTAGCTTTTAGACATGCAGCTCACACTGAGTTTTTATGCATGCATGAAAACACAACATGACGACTCGCCCAAGAGTGTACAGTGAAACCAATCATAAGCCTTTGTCTATTGTAACTTTGGTTTAAACAGTGTAATTTGTTATCAAACAACAAAGACCAAGTATTCTACTTGTAACAGTTGCTACTTAACTGCTGCCTATTTTCTTTTGCCTACTTATAACCCTTATACATGAAGACAAGACAGCTTTGGACAAGCCAACTAGATGAAAATAACAACCATCACTCTGACAGAGGAAGCGATCCACTCAGCCCCTTTCCACATGCACAGGGGTTGTGTGAAGTGGAGGGGATGTAATGACAACATGAGCACTGTGACAGCCTGAGTGAGCATGAGTTATTCAGAGCTAAAGTGAACCGTCCATACAGCGTTGTTGTTCTCGTCTGTTCTCAAGCATTGCCTTCTGCATCCGAAAGCACTGGGACAGGGGATAAGTTTGCAACATGATGCACAGTTTGCACACTACCTGCCTTTAGGCTGGACAGCCTGCTCCAAAAAAGTGGTCCAGTTCTATGCCTGGGACCACTAACAGATGGGACAGAAAATTAGCTACACACATTGTGGCTGTTGTTCCTCCTGATGTGCACTCCCCTCCTTTTAGGACAGACCCTTTGGGGGGGTGCAGTGTTTTTGCGTGTGGAGTACACATTGGGAGCCAAACCCTCTGCTGCTGCATGCACTCAGGCTTACTGTGAAAGGGGCGTTACATAAACTGGAGCTGACCCCGTTTCTCTACCTTATGCTGCCCCCTTTCCCCCTCTTCATCTGCTCACTCATCACCCCTCACTGGTACTGCAATGCACAATATTTGATGTTGATGGAAGCCCTTCTTCTTTCTTTCCTTGCAGTTTATTGCCTGCTTCATTCCTTCCTCTTTGGTAGAGGAAAGAAAAGGAAATAAAAGAGCGACAGAGCTTTGGAATGCCAGTGCACTCATTACAGGAAACAAGATTCACTGAGGGACACAAACATGCTTACAGATGCTGGTTCAGACATTACACCAAGGGCTTCTTCTACGCCTGTTTGTACCCTTTCAAACACAGTGCCCTTTATTTTTTTCACGTGTGTGGGGTGAAAGTTTAATGGCTCCACAGATGTCATCCCTGGAGCCTGCAGTCAAATGAAAACCTACAAGAAGGTTTTTGACAGCGGTAAGTATTTATGGATTAAGTTTCTGCTATTTATAGCACAGCTGTTTTTTTTACTAATGTTCTTAGTGGTTGTGATGTAAATATTATGTGAAATAGACCAGGAATTAACTCCACTGTTTCAAAAAGAGATGAGGAGCTTAATTATAAGTAGATGTGGTTTCCTTCAGTCGGTACAGTCAAGACGACCCACTGTGTTGTGACCTTGGATTTCCCAGCACACACTCCATTTACTAACCTGGAATATGTTAACCCCCTGTTTACTGTATATGCCAAGATGTTTGACATATTTACGTAACAGACAATTCAATTAATTCTTCAATTCCTCCTGCTACTATGTCTTTGTTCCTTTTGTTTTCTCTCACTTTTTTTTTAGATTACCAAAAGTGACAGCAAAGTCTAAGAAAACCAAAAAAAAATGAAGTGAAACTGAAGAATCTAACTTTGCTTTACTTTACTTTACATGAGAACAGAGTTAAACTAGTCGTCATATGTGGACTGCAAGACCACTCAATACATTAATGTTGACAAAATTATTAAATCTTGACAGTACAAACTGCCCCTTGTTTAAACTGTAACACAATGATTGACAGAGTTCAGAGAAGAGGGGGCAGCTCTCTTTAACCTAAAATCTTAGCAGATGGATCTACAATCAATGGTCAAGGTACTTCTGCTCCTTTTGAAAAGATAACAGAACACTAATTCACTCTAAAGATAGGTATCTAAACCAAATATTTAAGGTGAAGTTCAGAGATTGACCTGAATTTTTTTTTTTTAAATAACAAATAATGCATGTTCTAAATTTGAAAATGTAAGGGGGTAAATTCACTACATCCGAGTTACCAAAATATCTGAATACAGGATAGGAATAGTCCCTGTTTCCCCCCACTGTATCCACCAAAGCTGAAATACTGCTGGAGCTCTGATCAGCTCTTATTAATGCATGAGGAAGAATTGAAAGGATGGAAAAGATGCTCTAGTACACCAAATCCTCAGGAAGAGCCAGTGGGTTTTCCTAGAAATAACACACACCAAGTGAATGCTTCTTTTTTTTTTGATATTCTGTATCCACTAACATTCTCACAACACAGCCTAATAAACAAAGTGAAATCATCGAATGGTTTAGAAAACATTGATGGCAATTTTGCAGTGCATGGCCCAAAGTGGGTCATTTTTAACAGGACAGCAGCAAGTCTCAGAAGATGCATCCAACACAAGGCTTTAACGAAACGCATAACCACAGGAGATTCCAGCCACCCACAAATAACAAAGAAGAATAGTTTTATTGTGACCCAAGATTAGCAACACAACGGCTTCAGGGGAAAGCACAGAAATTCACCAACAACAGTGAGCACAGGAAAGGCTTCAAGCTGCTTCTCCAGAAGCTGCTGCTGTTTAAATATCCAAGTCACAAAATACATAAAGTCACGTTCTCATATATAGATAATCAGGGCACAAAGAAAATACTTAATGTCTAAATATCATGTTTTCAAAAGCAAGATTTGCCAAACTTCCTTTACCATTTTGACAACCTTTTTGTTTCCTTTTCATTTATTGAGTCAATAGTATGCTGGTTTGATGAAAAGAGTAAATGATCAATTACAGTTAAAGCCAACCTTATGTTCTTTCTAATAACAAAATGATACAACGTGAAGTTAACAACCATTAAGAAGTATTAAGTTTAAAATGGTCCCCATTGGCCTAAAACTAGATTTATCGTAAGAAATATGTATCTGGATGACACTTTTGAAACATAAATGTCAAATTGTGATTCATGCCTATAGAAATGTAATGTAACGATTTTGATGAGAGCTGAAACTGTTTTGGGAGAGACATGCTCATATTTCTTTTTCATGTGCTGTGGGATTTTGTCATCCCTGAAGTATGTGACAAGTAGATTTAAGGTCCTGTGGTTATTAAAGACCACTTAAAAGCACAGCTTATATTTGACAAATACTCGGGCCTGTTCGAACAGGATCAAGGGGGAAAAGGATCCCAAGCTCCACCTGCCCTTAGTCTTCTCAAGATGCCCAGGGACAAAAATGTCAAGCTGCTTGAATCATTTGAGGAAATTATGAAAGTTCTTGCCCTGAAGCATAAATATGTCTTATGGACTTTGAAAACAAGGTCTTACTGAGTGTGTGAAACACCTGGTCACACATTCCTAAACTCCTGAGCTCCATGAGGTAAGACCTCAGACAAATGTAAAGATAACAGACTTACAATGCGACAGAAGATTCAACCACAACTTGAGCTTAAGTTTGACAAAACCTGGGTTAGACTCTTTATGTTCTCTTTCTTAAACACATCACTGCCATTAAAAGGCAACTGCACTGGTGAAAGGCAAGAATGCATTGGGCTGACTAGTTACAAGCTCCAACACAAAACCCTGTAATCTGAACACTCCAGTCCCTAGAGATAATAACACAGGTAGTTCTATGGAAGAGGAGTGGGGGGGGGGGGTTTGTGTGCGTGTGTGTGTGTGAGCTGAAACGCTGTACTCAACACAGCTTGTGTCATATACCTCTGTGCGAATAGAAGACCCAAACAGCAATCTCCTGTTCTCATGACTCATTCTGCTCCCGAGTGTGCTCAACTGTAGCTAAGATTCTGAGGCTAGAGGGAAACTCTGCATCAACAAAGCTTTCAGCTTCTATTAAATGTTGCACTTTGTTGTTGGGGATGCTGATGGACAAAAAAAAAAAAAAAAACTACTTCCTCCAGTCTTTGCATTTGAAAGCTCAGCTGAAAAGCACATAACACTGGTGTGTAGCCAAAGAGTGTCTTCTTGGATCGGAATCCTTAGAAACCCTGAATTGCAGACAGCTGGAAAATGGGGCTTTCAGTGTTGATGAAAGCAGCAAACTTTTTTTGGAAAGCTTTTTGACAAGTGGTGGCACATAATATACAACAGAGCCATGGACTTGCCAGCATTAGGCCCCTCCAGCAAACAATTAAACACCCCTATTCATGCTGTATCAGTATGGAGTCCTGTAGGCTCAGGTAAGAAAACATAAAAAGCTGTTTGTAAACCTGTACCCATGGTTTATAAAATCCATATGCATGGATTTGCAGTCTGTTGGCACCTGTGCATGGATATGCTGGTGTAAAGTTTGCAAATCCATGCTCCTGATCTTTTGTCTTAAAAACAAGTATTTTTTGTTAACAGCTGATTAACCTAAACACTTTTATCTAATATGATGTCTGTGTTTTTTAAATTTTTTTAAAGTATTGCGGCTGAAATCACATTAAACAGAATCTTGTTTTTGCAAACTCCCCTGAGAGTACCAATTATGATTCTACATAAGGCTGAACTACTGTGGTTTCATTTCTTTTTATGACAGATAAGCTCCAATCACAAGACTGTATTTGCATTTCCACAATTTGCTACTTCCAAAATTGAGCTATTTTCACTGCAATAAATCGTTAGAA